TGTACTTTTATAAGAGCTGAGATTAAAGGTGTGTTCCACTATGCCTGACTAGGACTAATTTTCACATTATTACATTGGTTAATACATTATTGTGGGACTATGTGTCAGCTGGGAACTTTTGTTTTTTTTTTATTTAGCAGTTGAGAGTTTCTAGTTTATGCCAATAACAATGGATTCCTTTAACTCAACTGATTTTCCCCTGTGTATTGACTATAGTGTGTGAGTTGTTTGTTCATTTCTTTTACAATCAGCAAAGCTACAATGATACAATTGTAAATTGTATCTATGTCATTGTATAAGAAATAAAATTTAAAAATTAGTAGTGTATTGGGTGTTACACCTATGTGTTAGGTAAGTGGTTTACCACTAACCTATACACTGAGTCTATTATTTTAATCAAAGTAAGGTTTGATCAGTTTTCTATTTAAATATAAACAGATTTTAAAGCAAGGAGGGAAGGCATACATTGGGGCTGCAGAGATGGCTTAGCAGTTAGGAGCATTAGCTGCTCTAGCAAAAGACCAGGTTTGATTTCCAGGTAGCTCATAACAGTTTGTAACTTCAATTTTAGCAGATCCAATGCCCCTTTCTTGCCTCTGAGTGTATAGACATGCATGCACATAAAATAAAAATTAAATGAAGGCATACAGTCGATGTAAAACATGGTTGAGTTATAGAGGTTAGTGCTTCAGTCAAAGTAATTAAGAAAACAAAAACTGAGAATGTTGAAATGGCATATTTAATGGAAATTACAATTTATTGAAGTAAAACAGTGGAAATGATATTTGTTATGTGTCAAAAAGTTGAAGTATTTTAAACAAAAATGTGAGTTTCCTGCTAACAATTATTTGCTCAGATAAATTACTTGTAATCCATATAGAATGGTTATAGACAGGACTTTATCATGCTACTTTGAATTCAAAGCTGTACACACACACACACACACACACACACACACACACACACACACACAGTACTCTTAGGTGCTGACATGGCTAAATGGGTTCAAAAATTGAGCAGACTACAGAAATCACTTTTTATAGATGGTAAAATGTCTAGGATTAAGCAGACGGTTGCCAAAGCATGGCAGACCTCCATAATGTGACTAAGTATGATGAACTCAGCTCAGTCTTTGGCTAGTACAAAGCCCAGGAGCACAACCAGAGTTGAAAGCACAGAGAGGCAACAAATAAGAAGAATGCTGGGCTAAGGCTCTCCCGAGCAAAACCATTAACATCCATTTAAAGTGGCAGCTCAGGGAGCCTTGTCCATAAGAGAACCTGCCTTATGAATAACACTAGACATATCAAAGGTACATTTATTCAAAAGTGGACAAACTGCAAGTATGTTCATTTAGCTTTAGTTGGTTCATGTGATAGAAAAGTTACCACCTAATCAGTACTTTAGGTTCAGGTCTTATGACAGGGTCTCCAGGCTTACAGGGAAATATTATCGTGGTGATTAATCTTTGTTGATAATTCGATGCATTAAGAAATGCCTAGAAAATTGGCAAAGCACACTTCTGAGTGTGACTGTAAGGGTATTTTCAGAGGAGGTTGGCATGCAAATCAGTGAACTAGGTGGAGAAGACCCACTCTGAATGGGGGTGGTATGGTCCAAAAGGCTATTTCTTGTTTCTCTGTATGATTGCTCATTCAAAGCATAAAGGGGAAGCCTCACATACCAAACTCTCTTGAGTAGATGCTACTTTCACCTTTGCTGATCCTGTGGAAAGCAAAGCCCACATTCTGCAGGCTTTGAATGTGGGCTTTCACCAGTGACTTTCTGGATCTCCCTGGCCCTCAGCTTCCAGCTGTGGCTGTATCAGGGGCCTTCTTGTTCTGAGACTTCTTCTTAGACCAAGATTCCCCAGCTCTCCAACAAGCATCCAGGCACTGTATGGATATTTAGCCTTAGATGTTATAAACTAATCTAATACATCTTCTTATAATTATGTACATATCTTACTGGTTTTCCCCCTCTGGAGTACTATAACTAACAGAATTGCAAGTTTATGAGTTGAAATATTAACATCATGGTACAGATGTTTAGATCTGTTTCATCTATCAAAGAAAGTCCCCACCCAGCCACCCACACATACTTAGTGATTAGTTTTATCACGATAGCTCATGTTATAGCTAGGTTAGGTCTGGATTTATTGGAATTTTAAAATAAGAAGTATCTGGCTATGGTGATGCACTCTGATAATCCTAGCATTCAGCTGGCTGAGACATGGACTGAGAGTTCGAGACTGGCCTATTTTACATAGCAGGACCCTGCCAACGCAAGGAAACATTCAAGGAAACCATTTCCCATCTGACTTTATTCGACTGTTCAGTATTCCCTATGGCAGTTTGTGTTAGGCCTACATTCCTGGCAAAGGTTCTTTGCAAATGATGGTTGCTCTCACTCCCATAGTTCAAACAGGCCATCTTCCTTCATAGCTGTCTCCTTTCTGTTTTTTGTGCCTCTGCATTGCTGAACTGCCTTTACTTTCTTTGAAGGGAAAATTTTTTATTTATTTCCTTTCAGGAAGTTCACCTTTGTTCTCTTGTCATAAAAATGTTTTATGAGAGAAGCTTTACAAATACCTGCTAATGAGCACAAAACCACAGTATCTACAGGGCAATAATAATCTCAGTTCCTCAAATAAGTTCCTAGACTTCAATCATGAATTGCTACATCCTACAAGATTCTCTGTATGATTGCACATTAGTCAAAGACGGTGAAAGGGACCTCTGTAGAACGGGATAACTTTGAAGAATCCTCTCAATCCCTCGCGTTGTATTTAAAGGGAGCTCAGGGCCAGGGAGATGGTTCAGTGGCTAAAGGCACTTGCCACACCAGCTTGATGACCTGAGCTTGATGCTTGGAGTCCACATAAAGCTGGAAGGAGAGAGCCAGTTCCACAAAGTTGTTCCCTGACCACCACATGCATGCTGTGGCATGTGTGTGCCCTCAAACATACATCCTACATACATAAGTAAGCACACTCCCACAATCAAATTAAAAATAAGCAAGGGTGTTTAAAATATTTTTGCTTATTTCAAAGTTTTGTTTGTTTGTTTGTTCTTATACATTTCTTCCCAGCATATGTTAACTGTATGGATTTGAAATCTGCAAGGAGAAATTTGTATACCAGGGTTATGACACAGAATGAAATGAATTGTGTACTGTCTGCTATTGAAAGAGATACATTTCATATTACCTAGTTCCTTTTATTTTATTTTGAGTTTATTTTGAGACCCACTGAATTTAACCAGACTTAATTATGTGATCATGGACTTGGAACTATACATTGGAATCTGGTGGACTCCTCATTGGGTACTGTACTGAAAATAACAACTGCCCTCCCCTAGAATCCAGCAGTCACCAATAGTTCAGCAGAGAGGCTAGGCATGGGCATGTTCTTGATCCATGATTGGATGTTGATAGACCCCATCCTGTGTAGGTCCAGTACAGGCAACCAAGCTCCTGTGGGGACACAAATAAAGTAGCTATGCCATGCCCAAAAGACAGTATTTCACAGTCCTTATCCATTTCTTCCAGTTTTTAAACCCTTTCCATTCCTTCATCCACAAGGATCTCTGTGCTTTCGCAGTGTTATGGTTGTCACGTTATAGCTGAACTCTCAACTGTCACTTGTTCTCAGCACCTTGAGCAGTCATACACCTCTGCCTTCACCATAGTTCATTTCAGAAATAAGCTTCTGTGATTAAGTGTCATATTACCTAGTTCTTTACATGTACATTCATTATAATAACACATGTGCTTTATTAATAAATCTAGACTCCTACACACACACACACACACACACACACAGTACTTAGACAAAGAAATGCATTCCATCCATTGCCCTTGGGAACAAAGAGCCTATATTTGGTATATGACAGCCATAGTCCAGAGAGCATACCCTTAGAACCCAGTGTTTGGGTACTGTAGAAATAAATCTAATAATCTGTGTCCTCCATTTACTCCTAGAGACACCAGTAAGAGGTAAACATGCAGAACTGAAATTATGTGACCTGGAGGGTAATCTTGCCCTGGAGCTCACTCACTTCAGCTGCTGTTTCCTCAGCCTTGGCCCATCCCCGAAAGACTTTAACAGGAACAAAAGTTCCCTGACCCCATTCTCTCAACTCTCCACTCAGGAAGGGCCTTTCTTATTCTCTGCTTGCTTTTCCTGGAGTTCCCAGGATTCAGAACCTCCAGGAGGGTGGAACCAGGAATAGAAACCATGCAGAAAGCAGACTTTAAGGTGATGATCACTTGCGGGTGACTATGTCCCATGTGGCACAGTCTCAGCTTAATCAAGTCTTACTTCTGGCCACCAAGAGCCTAACTAAGCAAAACCTGTTGAGTGAGGTTAGCCAGAACCCCTACTCTTGATGTTTGATCACCCTCCATAACTGACCAAATTCTTCCTTACTACCTCCAGATGAGGTCTGAGCAAGAATCCTGTTGGGTTGGTTTAGCCAGAATCCCTCCTTAACTCAGATGAGTGTGTCAGTGACTTTTAACTTACTTTCCCTTGCTATAAATTTCCAGTTTTCTTTATTCAGTTGAACCCCACTTCTCCCCCTACTACAAAACTCCATCATAATATACTACATGCTCATCTCCAGAGTGTGATGTCTTCTTTACTATTAGATTCTGGACCCTTCTGTCTTTTGTTTTTGTTATTGTTTGTTGTTGACAATGTCTCACTGTGTAACGTAGGCTGACCTGGAGATTACTATGTAGTTTGGCTGGGAACTCCTGGCAATCTTCCTGTCTCAGCTTCTTGAGTGCTGAAATTATACTTGAGTCATGAAACCCCATTTCAGACAGCCTTTGAACAAGTGTTTCAGATAACCATTTGCTGAACACATGGCCTATGGGGATTATCCTGGCAGGCTTAATCTGATCTCAAGAGCCCTATAAGAGTAGCCAGTGGCAGAAGTCAGAAAGATGCAAGATATAAGAAAGTTTGACACATAGCACTTCTCCACTGCAGGATCTGAGAGGAGTAAGAACCAACACCTTTTACTGCTACAACTGCAAAGAACTGGATTTTCCTAGGAACTTGTGAGCTCCAAAGGAAGCAGTTGACCCAAGCAAGTTCTCCAGGTAAGATGTAGGTAATCATAACTTTGCCTCAGGAGTGAGGTCCTAAAACAGCTAATCTAGCCACACCCCTCAGGCTTCATAGCTACACAACCGTGAGATAAACAGGGGTTTAAAGCTGTTGAGTTTGGGAATTCTGAAATTTGCAGGCAAATGGACAGCACTAGCAGAAACCATCCTGAGTGAGGTAACCAAGTCACAAAAAGACAAACATGGCATGTACTCTCTCATATATGGATTTTAGACATAGATCTAGGGAGTGCCAGCCTACAATCCCATGGCCAGAGAGTCTGGGGAATAGAACCTTCATCCAATGGCTGATGGAAGCAGAGGCAGACTCCCACAGCTAAACACTGAGCTGAACTCAAGGAACCCAGTGACAGAGAGGGAGGACTGATGAGCAAAGGGGTTAAGCCTGGGTTGGTTAAACCTCCAGAAACAGCTAACCTGACAAGGGTTAGCTCTTGAATCCCAGACTGATGGCTGGGAATCCAGCATGGGACTGATCAAGACCCCCCGAATGTGAGTGTCAGTGAGGAGGCCTAGGTAACCTATTGCACCTTGGGTAGTAGATCAATATTTACCCTGGCAAACAAATGGACTTTGGGTGCCCATCCAACAATGAGAGATGCACTCTCAGCCTGGACTCTCACGGGAGGGTCTAGGCCCTGCCCTGGATGTAAAGACAGACTATGGACACCCCCATGGAGGGCCTCACCCTCCCTGGGGAAATGAAGGGGTATTGGGGATGGGGTTGGTGGGAGGGCGCCGGAGGAGGGAAGAGAAAGGAAGAAGGACGAGGATTGACATGTGAAGCAATCTTGTTTCTAATTTAAATAAAAAAAAAGCTGTTGAGTTTGTTCTGTGTTTGTTGGAGTGTCTTCTTCCACACATAATATTAGGAATGATCCCCATATACTAGGCATCCCCACAGGTCCTTCTGCATGCCTTGCAAGGGTGAGTGGTTTAGAAGGATGAAGGAGTGTGAGATAAGCTCTCACCTCTGCTAATCACAACCACACCACCACTGCCTAGGGGGTGCCAGGAGGCAGGCATTGTAACTGGATGCTTGCCTCTGGTACTTGCTTTGATTCTCAGTGGCCACAAGCTATGGAGGGTTTCCTTATTTAACAGGTGAGGAAATGGTGACCTAATAAGGCAAATGAGTGGTAGGAGATGGCGGTGCAGAGGTTCAGTTCAGTTGTGTGACCCCCATGGCTCTGTGCTAATGGTATCTGAGGTTCTTGCATTTGTTGGCAGGGCTGCTGTAACCAATGCTATGGCTTGGATGGCTTAAACAACAGAAAGCTGTTTCTCTTTTCTGGAGCAGCGAGTCCTAGATCATATTTAGAGGGCCTGGACGCTTCTGGGGACAGCAAGAGTAGGGTGTTTCTCTGATTCTCTCTGGCTTCTTGGAACTTGCTAATAATCATTGCTACTCCTTGGCTCATAGACCTGTCACCTGATCTGCCTTCGTTTTCACTTATCATCCTTCCTGTGTATGTCTGCATGCCCTGGGAAAAATTCTTGTTTCTATATGAGCCCAGGTTTATGGGGTTAGGGCACAAACTAATAACCTCATTTTACTTGGATTACCTTCAAAGACCTTTTCCCCAATGAGTCACATTCATAGACTTGGAGAGTAAGGACTCCTTGTGTTTGAGCAGGAACACATTACAACCCATATGAACCTCCAACTGTGATTCTTATATAAAGGCAAGAGAGAAATAGCTGCATTGCTTTGCTCCTTAAAGCCCTGACTTGGAGATTGGTATCAACACCTAAGCATTGGAGAAGGATGAAAGGGAACCTGTGTTTTCTTCTCTTGGCCTTTCAGGCCTCCTGTTTCCTATCACTCTGTCCCAGGCCCATAGGCTGTCCTGGCTGCTTCTGATCCTACAGAAAGGGAGTTGTCAAATGCTCCTGAGAGGTCACCCTGACCACCTTTGTGGTCCAGGCCTACCTCTGCTATGCAGGGCTGTGGACAGAGTGACTTCTGGTTGCCTGTAGACTGGGGGTAGCTTCTGTAGATGGGGCTTCCTAGGAGGAAAGTGGAATCTGGACCCAGGTCAGAAGTCAGACAAACATTAACGGCATCACTTGACCTTCCTGGAGGAAGGCCAGTTAATAGGATACACTCCATCATTTGTTCTCTCTCTACTGCCAGCTGGGCTGTGAATATGCTAATAAGGACTTTACATATAGTTCATATATCATTTTCATTGTCCAAACTTCATGCTTGCAGCATGTTTTGCAGTTCGTAAAGCATGTTCTCATATGGCCATTGCTAAGAGAGCAATTTCCTTCCGTTTTGTAGGTGGACCAATTGACCTGTTTAAAGTCACCCAGTATGTGATACAGACTGTATTACTTTTGCACTGCTGGCTGTGACACAGCACTACAAAGAGATAACTTATCCAAGCCCATAGTTTCAGAGGATTTCCAGTCCATCCTGGCAGGGAATGGGGATGGAATGTCTCTCTGAGTAATGGTGAGTGTTCATGTGGTCATAGACTAGAAAGCGCGGAGAGCAGGCTAGACTAGGGGCAGGCATGAATGATGGGCCCTAAATTACAAGGAGTTGAGGAGACTGCAAGGGTTTGAAATTTGGAAGCTAGTGAGTTAGGAAATCAATGGTAAATGGAGGCATGTGGTGCAGAAGGTGCCAGACGACAGATGGCCTCTACCCAGCTACCCACAGTGGTGAGGCAGCATCGTGCAGGCAACTGTCACTGCATGACACCAAAGGGGTGACTGACCTCCAGGGATGCCTAAGTAGAGGGTGACATTGTGTAGCTTAGCTATCTCACCATGTCTTGGAATGGGTGGCCTGATACACTGAATCAAAATAATATATATATTATATAAAATAATATATATATTTTAATGTAACATGGTGGTATTGACCTTCTGGCCACAGAAACAGCCACTGACTTGATAGGACTGAGTAGAAGCTAAGACTTGTATTTTCCAGTAACACCACCCCCCATGTACCTCTAGTTCCCCCTCCCCACCACCCCTGCAGGGTCATGACATATATTCCAGGCTTGCACTCCTCCTGCTTTAGCCTCACAAATGCTGAGGTCACATGTGTGTGCCCCATGTAGCTCAGTCCCTCACACTTTCAAGTCTTCCCCAGAGTACTATATAGGTGTCTGTCACGTCTTTGTGGGACCCAGCTTCCCTTCCCTTCTCATGACATTCAGTCCCTTTCCTCAGGTTTGGGCTACACATAGGTCAATGTCACTCCAAACTCCCGTCTCTTGTTTTTCTGTTGAGTAAGACCCTGAAGCTGCATTCCCGCAGACTCCCAAAGGCCTGAAGATCAGCTCTGATCCAGAGCAAAGAGTGTCTGGTAGTTGGTATAGAAATCTCTAGAGAAAACTCCTTTTGAGTTTTTGAGTCTCTTCCAACAAAGGGAAAGTCAAACTTAGAACTTGTTATCTTTCATTTTCCATGATTCCTTTCAAGAGCTCTACTACCTGGTATGGTTTTCCCATCATATTTATGAGGAAATGGAGGCCCCCTGGTACTAAATAACCAACCCTTGGTAACATGGTAAGAAGAAGAGATGGAGTTTGATCTTCTACATGGAATCTAAGCCAGAGATTGTGGCTTTCACAGTAGCAAGCACATAGCATGCTAGACTGTCTTCTAAATACCAGGAAGACATTGTCTAATACTGAGAAATGAGTCTCATTGGGCCACCAGATGAGTTGACAAACAGGATGAGCAAGGTTAAATGTCCTGCCTAAGGACATCAGCATAGAACTAGTAGGACTCAGGAGGAACTTGGAAGGGCCCTGGAAGGCTTCTCTTCCTCTCGTCTTCTCCAGAGCAGAGAGGGAACATCAGAGAACTTTTCTCTAGTACCTAATAGCCATCTATCATTGGCTCTGCACACAGCTCTGTCACTGCCATCTGCCCCAAGGCCAGCAGGACTATCTCACTACCTGTCATCATGCTTGTATCAGCCGCTTGTGAAGCCTGGGACTACTGTGTAATTGCTTACTCAGCCCCAGACTCTCATTCCCATATCCCCCTAAAAGCAATTCCTTTGTACATCTTACAATCCTTCTGTTGTGTCCCCTGGAACATAGTATCAGTCACCTGTGGGCACACCTGTATTTCTTACCTTGCCATTTCATGCTGAGTGGTCTTACTACCTGTTTCTATTAGTGTTCTAAAATAAGGCACAACTGGATGTGACAAGCCTTCATTTTGTGGAGCGATTCTTTGCCTTGTAGGGCATGAAGCATCTTTAGACCACCTGTTTGGTGAGACCTGGTGAGTTCCCTAGTGAAATGTCCCTAACTCTTCTTGGCTCCCTTCCTCTCCTGTATCTTGTAGTCCTGTCTGGTAATTATGGTATTCTATCCAGAGGCCCGCCCTACTCAGCCTACAGTAAAGTAGGCATCTTCCTAACTCCTTATCACTGTTTGCAGATCATTGTGTGTCTGCCCTTCCTAACAGGTATCAGGTTCTCCCTCCCAGCCTCAGTCATCTACTGATCTCCACATCCTCCCTCTAACTCCTTGTAGAGTATCAGTTGGTTCTTTGTGACCCTCACCAGCACCGACAGTCAGTCCTCTGTAATACTTGGGGATTATCATGTCTACCAAGATATAGCTGCAATACCCTTTATCTCCAACCTGATTGTTGATGCTTTTGTCTTTTGCCTTATTTTAGATACTCATTCTCAGTCTAACTCTAGATTGTACCATTCAGGGACAATAACCAATCAAGTCAGTTTCAAAAGTCCTAGTTTTTGATCATCCCTTTTGTTTCTTCCAGCTCATTCCCTGTAACCTCTGAACTTCAATAATTCTGAGTGTACCAGGATCTTTTTTAAACTTTCCCATACCCTCACACTGCTCCTGGATAAACTGTGTTTATGAGGTCACTCCTGGATGGAATAAATCTCTTTGGGGGCAGGGCTTTGTTATGTAACTAACTGGCTTGGAACTCTTGGCCCTCCTCCTGCCTTAGCCACAGATGTGCTG